TAGTTAGTGTAGTAAAAATATTATATTCAACAATGTGTACAATACACGATCGACGTATAATTATACAACTCATGCATACGCATCATAAACAATCTTGAATATCTTAAATTTATGACTTTACTGACTGACTGTACCTCGACAGGTCTCAGAATTGACATGACATATTGTTTCCTTAACGCAATCTGTGTCAAGATCACACTTGACCATCTTATAACTGATCCTTTACAATCTTTAATATAAGGTCGTAAGGTCGTGAATTGTATGTGCTTTTTTTTGTGTTTGGTGGTCAGGTTTAGAATAAAAACAATGTAAGCAGACCGTTTAATGTTGACTTCACGTAAATAGGTTGAACGTGGAGTGATTTTGAAACTAACTTTATATAATGTTTCGCAATACATATTATTAAGATGACTTTACATTTTGTGTTATTATCCTATAATTACCATCTAAATTTTTTTAAGGCTTTTCTAGGAACTCCACTTTTTTCTAAGAATACATCGCGCAAAAATTACTTTAGGCACAGGTTGCTGACAGACAAGACAATCACACTGTTTTATCGCTTAAGGATTGGTATTCGAATTTGGAGTTCCAAATTTGAAAATCTCATGAAGCATTTCATTTAGAAAATTTTAGATCTTATGTTTTGGTAACATGTTCTTTTAAGATTCAATATTAGTTCAGACACTTTCTGTAGATATATTTTGTCTTAAAGGTGATAATCTTTATATTCATTGCAATGTGTTTCAACTAGCGTTTGCCCCTTGGTCGAAATTCAATTTCACATAAAACTATTTTTTATAACACTAAAGACAGTAGAAAAAAAGTTGTTTAGTAAAAAAAGAAGCGAGAAGGAAAAACTGACCTATTTTGTAAATAATCTAAGAAACACGATTGATAAACATTAGAGTAAATTGTTCTTAAGTTTTTGTTTTTGCTTTTGCTTATTTATGTTTTCTTAGTTGTAATATACAGATGTGTTGAACTAGTAAACAATTCTCATTAATACCAAGAAATTCGGTGTCTGTCAGTTTGTTCGGCAGATCTCGATTTCGAATATGTAGAATTTACCAAATCTCTATTTAACTCTAACAAAATAAATGTATAGTCGATGACTCACCTCTTTTCATATACAATTTTAATCAGTTCTACCTTACTCGTTAATAAAAAGTAATAACTATTTTTTATTCGTAAAACTGACGGCATTAACTAACCCGTTATGAAGTAGCTATTCAATTTAGAATATAAACATTGCTAATTTTCACTTAATCCGATGAAGTATGCGCGGTGGGTGCCGAATGATCTAATCAAAGTTATTTATACAAGAGAAGAGAAATTCGAAAAGAGACGTAGCTATATGCAAATGATACATAATGGTCCTAGTTGTATTAACCTTACGGGACGCCCGCTCATATTAACGATAATTTACATTGATTTCCATTAATAAACTTGCACCTGTCAATAGTTAAAATTTATTCTTCGTATTAGAACAAACTTAAAAAAAATATATTGGTCAATCTGACGTTTGAGCAAGATCATATTTCGAATTGTAGGTACGCGCCAAAACGTCATGGCGCGTTTGAATCGTTGGTACGTAATTAGTATTGAACGCGATCGAACAATCGCTTTGTTGGAGTTCGCGCCGAGTGGTCATCGATTATACGAGCAGATAGTGATGTTCCATCGATGGCGAGACGTACCGGAGATGTATCGGCAGATAGTGTAATGACGCGCTATTAGGCTAGGTGTCGACGCGGCGTGGGAGAGCTCGTGGCCTACATTTCCTTCTGAAACCGGCTAATCACGCGCGCAATTACTCTAATTCAAACGGAATTATTCCGGCGATGTAACACTTTAATTGAATTGTTGATGCGGGTCGTAATTCGTGAATGCGTGTTATTTCGATGATTGGTATCGTGATATTTGGTTGGTAAATATCGATTTTGAGTGTATATAATATATACGTATGTAATCGATGTAATAATAATCAGGAACATTAAAATCAAATGTCATAACAATTTATAAGAATCAGAATTTAGTAAGTTTATTGTGGGAAGCGCTTGTTACGAAACAACAATGTGGAGAAGTCCAGTCAACTTGTCATTCAGAGAAAAAATAATAATACAACCTGTTTACGCGTTACTTTTTTGTACTGGCAAGAAATAAAAAGGTGGTAAGCGCGTGCGCGGGCATTCGCGCCGGCCTGCGGTGCGTTCCCGCCAAAAAACGTGGCGCGCTCTGAATACTTGGCGCGCTACACATTTTTGTTCCCCTTTGAATGAGTATTTCCGAATGAACGATTAGAAGCGACGATTCCGCGTTTTCACGTTGATTCGTCTCGGATTGTATCGATGATTTGTGCCGTCACGATCTTTGAAATGCCTCGTTGTGCTGAGAAACAACAGGTTAATTCTTAACGTCTGTGAATCAGGCTCGTAATTTAGAATCGACTAAAGTAGTCAGGTTTTAGTATACATGTATACAATATTTAGAAAATAGATTCTAGATTTTTTACTGTTTGTAAGAGGGTAATTTATTGATGTTTTGCATAAGAAACCACAATCCGTTATTCGGCAATTTTTTATTGAAATTTACAGTAGGTATTTGCATGCTTTTACCTGTCTCGGAATTCATTTGTCGTGACTAAAAGGTAGGTTAAAATATCAATTGCTTTCAGAAGTAGTTTTAGATTGAATTTTATAATATTTTGTACAATAAAACCCGTTCGACACAATTTTGAAGGAACTCAATTCCAAACGCGTCTTAAGCGAGAAATTTGGAACAGAGAAAATAAGACTTACATAGGTACTGAGTTCTCAGAAAGTTATTGTAATGTAATATTTCTACTTACGTACGTAATCGATTTGGCAAAGAGATGCATTAGTAATTAGGTACAAGACTTTCAATCAAATTTAAGTTTTACATTGCATCTTCACTTTCACCCGAAGAAGTTTTTATAGGCTGCGAAATTGTCATCAATGGAAGAACAGAATAGAAGAGAAACCTATAATATCTCGATACTCCTTCTACCGTCACAACTTCAAAACAACACAAAATCGTATTAAGCGTAATAAAATTTAGACAAAATGCCTCGAGTTGCAGGGGTTTACGTAAAATGGCGTATTATGCGGGAACTCGTGTTAAGCGGTTTTTTTTTTGTATGAGCTTACAGTTGGTGGTCTTTTTCAATAAAAAGAGTAACCCGTTTATTTATGGTAGATATGTACAATAAATTTAGGTCTAGAAAAAAGTTTTACTTCAAATCAAACAACTCATGACTGACGCTTTGGTCATAAACCAAATAACAACTTTTTTTTTTTTAACTTAACGGCTAAACGTTGATTTGAGACTCGTTTGATTAATAAAAGCACGCGTGCCAAGTTTTTACTTTAAACAGAAATTGCTATAATTGAGCTTATAACCATAAAATACTATTTCACTCTGTATAAATGTTATCTTTATTGAAACGAAGGTGCGCCAACTGAATGTAGATTTTATCCAAATGTTATTGATAGACAATCGTATTAAGTTTTCATTAGGTGTTAAATTATCTGAATTTTAACATTTATAGAAACTGGAATTTTAAATTGTTAAATAAAGCTTTGAATTATTATATATACGAAATGTTCTTTGATAACTTTTAAACTTTCTCTTAAACATGGAGGTAGTAGAAGAATTAAAGCGATGACGTAGTAGATATAATTAACCTTTGAATTGCCTGATGACTTGACCAGGTTGCTTTGCTTTAAATGTCTTGATCACAGGCTGAGCGCATGTTGGTAATTCAATGGTACCTATTATATACTAGTACTTTTTATACTATGTTCTATTTATGCCATGTTTTTTTCTTATGATAATGCATAGTAGAATAGCCATTCAATTTCATTCACTTAACTATGAGAGTAGTTAACGGAGGCTAATACTTCTGCAGTATTTTTTTTTCAAATGTGTTAAACATTAACGATAGCGCAAAGGTTAAAAGAAGCCTTCTTCTACAGATTCCTACATAGAATGACATTTTGAGTTTCCGAAAAGTAAAAACGCAAGGTTTTCTTCTATCAAAGGTATAACTTTCAAAAGTTCTTCTGCGAGTTATTATTTATTTAACAGTTAAATATAAAAAATATGTTTATTGTCTTAGATTAGTCTGAATATCGACGAGAAGTTTGTATACTAATTAATAAAGACTAAAGTTAATAAAATCTAAGCAGCAATTTATATGGCAGTTTGTAGCAGTCATTATCGATATGTAGGTTCCATTAAGTGCTAAGTCTATTATTAGAAATATTTACAACTTAGTAATTACTACGACCTGTGCCGCATATAATTGTGTCTAATAAATTCTTAGAAATAAATACCGGTATCTTGTCGCAGCACTAGTTCTTTGATTTTTTTAATGATTCCATTTTTAAATTAATCGCAGCACTTTTTAAAGGATTAGTCACTATACAAGTCTATTGCGGAAAGATACTATGCGAGAACACACATGTAATTATATTCTTAATAGATTGTCAAATGTAATTTCTTTCCTGTTACATGTTTAACATACCTTCCGAAGTTAAGACCTGGTTCCATCGGACGTGGTCACAGGTGCCCCACTCTGTATGTCACATCTAATGACAGTTAATTTCTGTTAAATACGATGTAATATAACAACAGAAGCTATATTTAAAATAAGTATTTTAATTTTATAAAAGATAGGACAGATTTACAAAACTGAAATTCTTATCTGGACACAGACCTTTTTTTTTTTTTTTTTTTTCCGTGCGGAAATCCCCTCGGATACTACCTGTCGGTGGCATGTCGGACTCGAACCGACTAAAACCGCACGCCTTCGCCGGGTACTAATAGCCGGGGAACCAGGTATACCCTAGAAAGGAAGTCCCTGGTGCATCTGGACACAGACCTGACCTTAACTTTGGCATGAATCGATAAACAAAACAAATTTTAATACTGTTATGCTTTTATTTTGATACTAATCAAAGTCTTTTTTATTGTTACAGCTGTACAAAGAGGCCGAGTACCGCCAACGCAACCAACGGGCCTAGCCCTGCCCGGCCAGTACGGGCTAGCCAACGGCGACCCGTCCGGAGGCTTAAACAGCCACCCCTACCTCTCCTCATATATCTCTCTGCTCCTTCGAGCCGAACCCTACCCCACCTCAAGATACGGCCAATGTGTACAACCAGCCAACGTCATGGGAATAGACAATATATGCGAGTTAGCTGCCAGGCTACTTTTCTCCGCCGTAGAATGGGCAAGAAATATCCCATTCTTCCCCGAACTTCAAGTGACAGATCAAGTCGCGTTATTAAGACTAGTCTGGTCAGAACTGTTCGTTCTAAACGCGTCTCAGTGCTCAATGCCCCTCCATGTCGCCCCACTATTAGCTGCTGCGGGACTACACGCGTCCCCGATGGCGGCTGACCGAGTCGTCGCCTTCATGGACCACATCAGAATCTTCCAGGAACAAGTGGAGAAGCTAAAAGCCCTCCACGTGGACTCCGCCGAGTACTCCTGTCTGAAGGCCATCGTCCTCTTCACGACAGGTAAAATTTTAGACAGTCTTTTTGGGAAGCGCGGTTGTTGCTATACAGGGTGGCAGGGGCCGGTGGCTCCGTCACCAATTACGGGGAGTTGCTGGTGTTGGTCAGGACGCATTTAGATGCGTATGCTGAAGCTTCGAGGGTGCCGCAGCCACCGGCGCCTGCTCCATCTGCCACTTCATCCGGGTATTATTCCACATTAGACACGTCTCTAGGCGTTAACTCCTCGCTGTCTTACGGTAGCTTTCTCTCAACACCATCTAGATTACCACCTAATTACACAAGTAGTCCTAGAATGCCTGATGTTAGTACGTCATCACCATTTAAGCTCTGGGACTCAAGTAGTAAGTTTCCTAAGACGGATCAGGGGGGTTGACGTTTAATAGCTCGGTAGAGGGTTGGAACTAAGGTGTCGGGTTGGACGGAAGGACCGCTAGTAGTATGTTCTAAGTCGCTCGCGTATTTAACCGTTACCGTGTAGGATATGTTATTGTATGGGGATAATAACTCTCGCTCCCCGAAGCGCGAACGGTCGCAGTCGCACGGGGAGGCGACTTATTGTTCTCGAAGATTCTGCTGCATATCTCGCTATGTATGTAAATATTACACATGTGATATAGGTTATAACTTCGTTTTAAACGATTCTTAGAGTAGATTCGTAGAGACGAATAGCATATAAGTATTATTTATTTTCATGTAGATACTTAACATTATTAATGAATACACACGCGTAATTTATTACTAACCTTCGTTTTATTTTCATTTTCATAACATTAAAACCCTTATTGTTAGTTTAATTGAGTTTCTATGATCAATTTGGATTTATCGTGTTTTATAAATATGTTGATTACAAAGAAAATATTTCATAATTAACATGAATTTATTGGCTACACAAATATTAAATCACTTTAGTTGACTTTGGCGTTATAATTAGTTAGTTACAGATTTATGGTGAGTTTACACCATCATGGGGATTAACTGGCGATAACATTTATAATTGTAAACTATTTGATATATTTGAATATTTGTGTCAGTTTTGAGAAATAGTTACACGATTTTATATAATCCTTAATTAAACAAAGTTTGCTGATTGAGAAATTTGAATGTCGTAGTGTCACATAAAAAATATTGTGATGTCTTTGTTAGAACAGCCAAGTATTCTGACGTACGTATGGACTTTAGACAGTACACATTTTTTTTTGTCTATATTTGATCTGTTCTTAAAGAGTCAATACAATTAGGTACGTAGGTATATTTTTTTTCCATTACTATCATGTTTTTTTCTGTGGAAATTGTTAATTAATCGTAAATTTAAAATTAGAATTACATTCAAATTGAAAAAATCAAGATATCATTTTCGAAACATGATATCTTGATTTTTTAATTAAAATATCTGTATCATATTTCGAAAGTCGTTTCACTTTGTATTTTTTTTTAAATAAAACATTCTAATTATGAATTTTTGAATTTGAATCCAACTGTATTGCAGATTGTAATTATTGATTTCCACAGCGTTTTTGTTTTATTTTTTGCTTTTGCATGCTAATTTTAATTACATTCGCAATTTACGTACAATCCAATCGTTTAATGTTGTATAAAACAAGTTACGTTTCTCAGTAACTTATCCACTAGATATTAATACAGGAATAGGTAATAAACTTTCGCTTTCTCTGGCTTACGATCTCGAAGGCACACAAAACTTCCAGCTTTAATGTTTTACAACATATTAAAAGTCGGGTACAAATTTTAATACTGCAAGTAAAATTTTATAAGACATTAAGTTTTAGGGCCCGTACGCGCTACCAAATTATATCAACGTATTACTGGTGTTTTAATTTTAATTGATATTAAAATACTTTAGACAGAATGATTTAATTGCCTAGACTAAATTTTATTTTTCTGTTTTCAAACTCATTCTCAGCTAAAATAAACATTATTTACGCATTTATATGTGATACCGATAAGTTGCAAAAATATAAATTACGGGTAAATTTTTAATCATCGGCGAATTAATGTTAAATAATAAACCTAATTTCTTTCTAATATATTTTATTTTAAAGGACAGCTACAGCTCATTATGTCACAATTAAAACTATAAATAAGATTAAGAGATATTCGTTAAACAAGATATTTCGAATAATTAATACATTTAGGTATTTATGAACAATTTACAAATTATTAATTGGCAAAATTTTACCTGATACCTACAGTTTATGTTAGTAATATTTCACAACTTTATGTTATTTTGATAGAGCTTGAATAAATGTTGAACTTTGTGATAAGGAGTGGGTAATGGCGGGGAAAATTATAAGTGACACATTATATTGTTTATTGGAATTGACACATTACATTTTATTATCATATGCTTAATATTGTTGATGTATTCATACGTGTATATCCCTTTAAAAACCATAAACCCTAATGAGTTTACGTTTTTTTTCTCAAGTTCCTGGGTCTAGCAATAATGCAATTGTTGCACCAATCATGGCAATTAATTAATTAATTGCATCCAAAAATATTTAAATATAAGGGTATAGAGTAAAAAACACGTATTTGTAAAAAAACATACGTAAACATAGACTACTAAACACACACACACAAATATATACACAAACACATACACATAGTCTTGTTTTATTCAGCTGTCTAACTCAAGCCCTACGATTGTTCCTCACATCTCGTTTGAAACTCGTCGGTTTCTCGCCCGATAATCTGCGACGAGTCAGTCTGACGGGACACTTCCGACACGTCCACGACACTTTTACTACAAATAAGTGTACTAGCACTGTGTATGAACTTTTGATCAAAATTACATATTCGTGCGATAAGTGTTGAGTTGGGTTTGAAATTTAAGGCGGAATAATTTATACTTATTCTGTGTATTAATAATGTAAATTAATAATAAATTGAGTGTAAAGCGACACTTAAGGCCCTAATGTTATGGAATTTCCAAGAAACATTCGTTTGTACATCCACGTTATAAAAGTATTACGTGATTGTAGAAAAAGTAAAGTTTTTGATAGAAAGGTAAAGTTTCTATAATGTAAAAAAAAGCTATTTTTTTTAAATAAACTACGAAACCGATAGTAAAATCGAATTAAAAGACAATTAATTGACTGTTTCTATTTAATGTTATTGTGCAGTATGTGCTTAACTACTGCCGTAATTATTATAATTTTACTAGTATCGCAGTTTTAGTGGTCGTATCCGCATAGGCAGTAAAGAGCTGAATGCGTAAAGTTGGTAGACACAGGGACCGTAGATGGTTGCAATTGAAGGCTGATACATGTTTCGATGTCTAGTCGACTATTGCATTTTAGGGTTAGGTTATTTTCAGGTACACGACTTGTTACGGGTTAAAATTCTTTACACTTTTGTCAAGAAATGGTTTGAATTTCGAATTGCAAGTTTTAATGACTAGTATCGTAGGTTACAAAGTAACTATTTTTCTTCTTTGTCTATATTACCGCTTCAAAAAACAACCTTTCTTATTTATATGTTTTTTTTGAAAAACCATAAGAACTACTTATTTAATTAAAAGTAAAAAATATTTAATGTAATTTGCTAAAAAGAACATAAATACCTCATTCATTTAATACTTAATAGTGTAGTTAATGATTCAAAAATTAAACTTCTATATTTCTTTATTATTTCTATTAGTAATCGGAAATAAATCAGACGCCAAGTGATGAATGCTTGCATTCACCATGTCTCAGATATTTTTAATATAATTTATACCCAGACTGACAGCTATAATCTGTGGCCTACACATTTGTAAAAATAAATTGTCAACTTAATCTACGCTTCGATTTTTGAATTCCATAAAATTATTACGACTTTATAAAAGCATAGCTATCTAAATACCATGTTGGAATATTAGTATTTTAATACCTAGAACTATGATATTATTAGATATTAATTGAATAAGGAACCTCTTTACGTGTACACCGTAGATAAACGATAAAGGTATTGGTTGTATTAGATTCTTATCCGAGATATAACTTATATCTAGTTATGCATAAGTACGATCAAATACCTAACACTATAGCGTCACTACACTTAACAGAATATAAAACTAGTTACAAGTAGGCACTGAACGACCAATTTCACCTGAGCTCTCTGTCTCCATAATGTTCCATACATTTATTCCCTAAGCAGGTTCCTATAGATATATATCGAGGGGTCTGTCGTTAGTGGTGTAGTTATACGCCCGGGGGTACGATGAATATGCAACACCAATAAATGTAGTTTTATCCACGCCGGCCAACTTTCTCTACCCGCAGCGTCCAACTTAACTTGGTCGGGTAATAGTTGTACAGAACTAAATAACGTTACGATGTAGTTGGATTATCGCAGATGTATAAAAGTTAATGCTTATTTATGCCTTGCCGTAAAGTTCATACGATAATTATAAAAATTTAGCATGACGCGATTGTCCGGAATACAGCTTGTTGTATACCTTGATTTTTTAATTTTGACCGTGTAGGTAAGTTTATTTATATGTAAATATGGCGAGGGTCACACAAATTGATGGTAATAAACATTGCGGTCGGGTATTGTAGATTTCGTAGTATGTTTCTAGGTATTTGCTTGAGGAAAACGCCATCAGAAGCACTTTGAATATTATGAAATATTAAAAAAAAATGTTAATGTTGTAAGTCAGTTTATCTGTATAGACCATCAATATTTACTTCCACATATGTGTATGACGTAGCTGTTATAGATATATTTATATACACATACATATATAAACACTGATTTTACTAAAGTACAAAGGTAAGTTAATTACAACAAAAAACCGCCATATTTTTAGAGAGCTGTGAATTCAAAACCGACCGAGTTCAATACTCAGTAGGTACTAAAGCACAAAGTAAAAAACTAGTATTAGACGGCATTTATATTGCATACAGATTAAGTAAAGATTGCCTCATAATTTTTTTTTAAGTATTTATTTAATCATTTAAAATCGATGTTTTTGATAAGGTATTCCTATTTTTAGTGCTATTCCTGTTTATATTTATTTACATAATTTGTATTAACAATCTCCACGGCTTGTAAGTAACCATATCAGCCGTAGTATGTGTCACCTTTTTTTATATATGATCCAGCTTATTAAAAAGTCGTAAAGTTGAAAATGTAAATTCAGACATATTGTCGATTATTCCATAACCAGTAGTGACTATCTATCTACCGGAAGGATGCTTCAATCTATTTCGCATACCGTTTATTTTCTACATTACTCGTTTTTCCTTTTAAAATTTAAAGAACGACTAACAAACGCGTATCTTAACCTCAACAAACTCTTAAATACTCAACACTCAATACTTTATTGCACACCATAACGTTAGAGAGGTGTTACATTGAGTTTTACAGTGC